ACTGATTTATGTAATATGGGTCTAGACAAAGCACAAGTCATGAAGTTACTGTGAGAAGTGAAGGCCTATTTCAATGGCAAAATCAAAAACCAAACAAACCAAGAATCAACAGAAGAAAGTTCATTTGTAGTTTGAAGCATATTTAGGGTGTTTCTTACCCACTTTTTGTCTGTTCCACAACATTATTCCACATAAAAGTCTGCATGCTTGAGTTGGAGCCATTTGGATCATTAAATTTACCTGTCGTAGAAACGTCTGTTCATAAAAACCTCTGCTAAAAATGCTGCTAATAGAAAACTTTTCAACTTCGGCAAATTAGCAAATTAACGTGCTTTCCACTGTTTTCCAACTAATGTTTGGTCGTTCACCTGTCAGAGGAGCTGCACTGAACACAACTGGTAGCATCTACCGGAGCAGCATGTGAGGTGTTTAGGGAACATCGGTAAAATGTCGCATCTATCGCAGGGGTGTCAAACTCATCGGAACATCGGTTAAATGTAGCATCTACTCATACACATGTTCAGCAAGTGATTAGCCTGTGTCTAGTTAATGAGTGATATCAGAAGAGGATTGGTGACAAAATAAATATATTTTCAGGTTAAAACATTTTACAAACATCAAGTCTTGTATCACTGAAAATCACTGCAACATAACTAAGTTATGCAAAAACAACTATTCATCAGCTGCATGGTGGATTAATAGCTGTGGCAACACTGAACCAAAACAAGGGGGTGGGCGACCAAATCATTAGCTGGTGCGACCAACAAAGAAAGTTGGTACCAGTGCTACCATTGGAAAAGTTAGTCTGGAGCCCTGCTACATGTGTTTTGCTTTAAGATAAAGGCATGCACAATAGTTGTACAAATAATAAATAACAATCAAATGCAGAGACAATTATTTAACAATATGTAAAGGAGTCGCTACATTCATACAGTCTTACAATTACAACTGCCCTTTGAGGGTAAACATAATGCTTATGTGGCCCAGGATGAAAATGAGTTTGACACCCCTGCCCTAGGAGGAGATAGATTTTGAAAATGGCCAAACGTCAGGCAAAATCACCAAAATTCTCAGCGTGTTTTTTCACAATGGCGGACTTCCTGTTGGGTTTAGGACTTGGTACTGATTGACTTTGTTGTGCGTCCTGACCTGCTACACATGCCCACCAAATCTTGTAGCTGTAGGTGAAACGACAAGAGTCAGTTGAATGCAAAAAACACAGTGAAAATGGACAAAATGGCCATTGATCAATATTGGACGGGCCGCCATTTCCAAACCGGGCCTCATCTGCAGAGCGTTTTCGTAACTTTTAATCACCACGTCCTGCAGTTTTTGCTGGGCAAATTTCAGGTGTGTACGACGTACCCCCTAGGAGGAGATAGATTTTGAAAATGGCCAAAAAATGGCAGTTTTTCGGCCACAAGCCGCCATTTTTTTCCAAAATGGCCGGCTTCCTGTTGAGTTTCGGGTATGTGTATTCGGGGGCCCATTTTTTGAAACTTTGTAGGAGGGCGCTGTTGAGCCATTTTTCTATTGAGGTGTGTATTTCCCCCTAATTGTAAAATTTTTCACCGGGTCTGATGTGTGTGGCAAGTTTGGTGTGTGTATGTTTAGGACCTCAAAAACGCGTTTCTTTGTACGGAATAATAATAAAAACCCGAGCAGTTCCAATAGGGTCTTCGCTCCCTTTTGGTGCTCGGACCCTAGTAATCACAACGGTTCCAATAGGGTCCTTGCACTGGTGTGCTCGGACCCTAATAATCCGAGCAGTTCCGATAGGCCGTGGCGACGTGCGTGTAGGCCGTGGTGGAAACGCGCTCTGGCTGAGACTTGGAGCACGTGCGTAAAGTTTCAGGAAAATCGGAGCACACACAGGCCAGTTAACAGCACGTCTCGTATTCTGGCATTTTAGGGCGTTGTGGCCACGCCCCCAGGTGGCGTTGTGAGTGAGAGTGGTCATATGGCTGTGATGAGGGTGAGAGTGTGATGCAACATGTGAAGTTTGAGAGCA